CGCGCCGCGCGGCGTCGATGGCGTTCTGGTGGTACGCGACGCGGAGCTCGTGCGCCATCGCGGGGTGCGAGACGAGCAGGAGCCGGTCGGCCCCCGCGAAGGCGGCGTCGAGCGATGCGGGGTCGGCGTAGTCGCCGCGGCGGATCTCGACGCCTGACTCCTTGATGGTGGAGGTTGCTCCGGAGGGGTTGTAGAGGGAGACTATGATGTCGGAGGCTGCAAGCAAGTATTAGCATGATCGCATGCATAGACTGAGACTTGGCACATCGCCGATGTGCTGCTGGCGCACCTGGGACAAGCTGCAGGAGGTGTTTGAATACCCGCGAGCCCAGGCCGCCAGTGGCACCGGTCAGAACGAACTTCGTCATGAAGAGAACCCGGAGCCTGTCTGCGGATGTGAGATGAGTCGTTCATCATGTCTATGATGGGGAGTTATATGGCTTGGTACGCCTGCGCTTACAGCTTGACTTGCATATAAGCGAAGGAAGGCGTGAGGATGCATCAGCATTCGGTGCTCGCCTGTGCTCGCTCAGGCTGCGTAGCCGTCAGTGACCGTCCATGTGTACGAACTTGAAGCTCATTCGTCCTGGACAAGGACGACCGAATGAGTCAGCAGTGCGATATCGGAGACGGAGAAAGTATCGGTGGATTAGTAACGTACTGTCGAACGTGGAAACGAGATGTATATGCCCTGTGGTTCGGGCTCGCCGTTAGACACCGATGCCTGTCTGTATCAGGGTACAGAGCGCCCCGGCGCCCAGGACCTCATATACGAGTGGAGAGCTATAGCGTCAGTTCCTGAAGGGAACATGGTTCAGGAAGCCGGAGGTCTTCGTCAGTGTCGATTCGCCGCGGGGTGATGCAGTGAATGGCCCGGCGCATGAGTCGAGCACAACTTGAAGTGATTGCATCCTACGACATGTGTACTAGTAGTAGGATGCCCCCGACGCCTTCAAGATGTCGTCCGATGAATCACGAGGGATATTGAGCATAAACACTAGCTAGTACTGTGATGCGTCGAGACTCAAGTCGTGGTGAGGTTAAGTAACTTCGGAAGCCAAGTACAACGTTAACAAGTACTTACTGACCAGCAACGGGGCGCTCCGATGATATCGGACCTGTAAGTGCGCCTGCCAACAGCTTCCTCCTCCTTTCCAAGTCATCCTCCTTCTCGCCATCCGCTTGCTCCAGGCGGCAATCTCATGGTTCTTCAGGTTGTCTACACCGCGATCACAACAGTTCTACCAACGAAGTACTGGCCACATGCTGCTGTGGTTGCAGCGGTCCTTGTCGTAATCTATGCGTATACCCAAGGGCCTCCAACGAACCGTGAACGTGATCTGCATGCACGAGTAATCATACTGACGGTGAGCTTTCTGTCTTTTCTCTCGTCTCTAGGATGCGGTGCCGGAAAGCATACGGAGGGAATGGAGAAGTGTCGCTGCAGGGACTGACAAGAGACTGTAGGGACCATTCACCCCGCTGGGCCTTGTCACGCTGACGGCCCTTGCGAAGCGGGGTGCAAATATCATTGCACTCTCCCCTTACCCGCTCTCTCACCCCGTACCATCGCTTATCCTCCCTCTCATACGCTCTACAACCAACAACGAGAACATCTTCGCCGAATACTGCGATCTTACCTCTGCAACCTCTATCCGCAAGTTTTCCACCACGTTCCTCACCGGCAACGATACTCGTATCGATGCCATCGTCTTCGCACACGAGTATCCCAGCATTGGCCGGATATGGTTCTTCGGCGGCCGAGCAAGACGCGAGAAGGAGCAGCGAGAGGCTGAGCAACGAGAGTCCGCGTCCCTCGCATCCTTCTTACTGGTGACCCTGTTGCTACCAGCCTTACTCGTCGCGCCCGTCGAGCGGGACATACGTATTGTTTTTGTGGTGAACCCATTCTATGCCGCCGCTCTCCCAACGTTCTCCTCCTTCCTCGAATCCACGCCTTCCTCTCCCGCCCGTCCGGAGTCTCTGCTCATCGCCGAGGGCCACCGAGCGCTGCGCTCGATTATCGTCACCCGTCACCTACAACGCATCCTCGACTCGCTACCCAACCGAGCGGCCGACGCCAGGTCCGACAAACCTCCCGCGCTGCATCCCTCGAACATACTAGCGGTGTCTGCCTGTCCAGGAATCAGCCGGCGGGACACCGTCGCCCCCTTTCTTGGGGCCAATGAGAGGGGGTGGTCGCTTGCATACATTGTATTGCTGCCTTTCCTCCTGCTGTTCACGAAGTCCTCTTCGTCTTCGCTGCAGACGCTCCTCCACGTCCTCTTCCTGCCAACGCCATTGAAACGCGCCCAGGCCAAGGTCGATGCGGCTGCCGACGAAGAGGCACGTCAGGCTGAGGCCCTCACCCCAGAAGCGTCATCGGAGCCCGCCGAGCCGAGGAGAATGGGCAACGTGGAGGTACTCAAGCCCGGTGCCTTGTATCGGGAGTGCGCCGTCGTTCAGTTGGAGGTGCCACGGCCGCCTGCGCCGGCACCTGCACCAGGCACGAAAGAGAAGAAGGGCAAGGAGCGCGAGGAGCGCGAGGAGCCGAGTGTATTGGAGGACGACGGCGACTTCGGTGGCGAGGTTGTGGGGCGGGCTGTTTGGGAATGGTATGAAGCACGCCTGAAGGAGTGGGAAGCGCGGGACAAGGAGCGTGTCAAGGCTGAGGAAGAGGCCGCCGCCAGGGAGAAGGCTGAGGAGGAGGCGAAGGGTACGACAGCACAGGCGGCGAGCCCTGCCGAAGGGAAGGACTCTGGGCCGGCAACGGACTCATGATGTTATATGGATTGTGGTACGTGTGGTCAATACACTAAGCGTTCGTGCTGTACAGGCAAGCACATTGCCTGTGACGCCAGGCGTGTCTCGACTGGGGGTTGCGTTTCTCGCATCGCCATCCCGCCCTTGGAGGCGCGTGGATCGGACCCGGTTAGGTGCGAGTCGCGACTCAGCGGGTCGCAGTCACTGACAGCGCATGCGGCCGTATCCAAGCTGATCAGTTTCAGCTGCGTCCATCAGCAGAGCTCAGTCCACCGTTCAACGTACAAAAGGATGGCTGCACACCGGAGGGACTCGCTGGCTCGCCCCCGTTCTTCCTGTTAGTCTCGTCCTCTGGTAGGCCACGATCGCTTCTCCCGCCGATACCCTCAGACGTACCCGAGCATACCCATTCTTAACACGACACGACGACCGTTCTCCACCATGCGCCTCTCCGCTACCTTCGCCTCCCTCTCCGCCTTCGTCTGCGCTGCGCTTGCGCAGGATGTTATCACACCTCCGTCTACCTCAGGCTCGCTTACGGGCCTGAAGTACACTTCCGTGGGCGGGTCAGGCTCATACAACCAGGTCACGAACATGATCCCGGGCAACTTCCCTACCTGCGATGCAAACCCGTCTTGCATCACTGCCCCGAAGGCGGTCAGCGGTGCGTCATCAATTGATCTCCGTTGCTGCTTGCTTCTGTTCCTAACCATATCGTTTGTGATTGACGACTCGGATGCTGTGCTGGATTCATTGCCCGGATCCGTGCCTCCGATTTGTCCGTTGCCATCCGCTTCGTGACCGGATTTCTGTACATCCACACTCACTGTACGTCGGACCACATCGGGATCCGAAAGGCAAGCTCGCCCCCTTCAACGAGGAATTGACGTTCAACTTCCGCGGTCCGTTGAACCTCTTCAACATCGCCGTCTACCAGCCCGACAGCACCGGCGCGACATGGACGCAGACGAGCTCCTGGGCCGCGGGTCAGGCTCCGAAGAACCTCGTCTTCATGAACAACCTGGGTGGCGGCGCTAGTGGCGAGTTCTCCAGTACGTCTGGGCTCTATGCAATCCGCGTGGATGTCTGCTCACCATGTGCTTTGTGCTTGCCTACCACCGCAGTCTGCCACGGGAACAGCCAGTCGTTCGCCAGCGGCGACTTCACCGCAGCAGTTGCCACTGCGAACGCTGAAATCACGAACGGTGTCCTCGATCAGGATCACGAAATGGTGCGTTTGGGCTCTGCGCAGTCCCACTAGCATCACATTTACTTATGATCTCCCGCCGACTTGCAGAACATCATGACCGCGGAGACCTGCGCCTCTCGTCCATGCGACGGCTTCTCGCGCGGCACCGCCAACCACGGCTGGGCCGACTCCAAGATGCTCGTCGTCACCTTCAACATGCCCGCCTCCGCGGACGCGTCCAAAGTGCCCGCCATCTGGGCGCTCAACGCGCAAGTCGTGCGCACCGCGGAGTACGGCTGCAACTGCCGCGGGGTCGGGAGCCCCGGCGGGTGCGGCGAGCTCGACATCCTCGAGACCCTCGTCGGCGCGGACCCCAACAACGGCATCTCCGAGATCTACTCGTTCAAGGGCGCGACCGGCTCCGGGAACACCAACTTTTTTGCGCGCCCGACGGGCGACAAGGTCACGTATGCGGTCGTGCTCGATGAGCAGACGGACAGCATCGCGATCCAGCACCTCGCAGGCTGGGACTATGGCGCGACGTCCGTCCCGCCGTCGACGATCGATGGCTACCTCAATGCGGCGGCGTTGGAAGTCAATTTCGCAACGGGTGCTCGGAAGCGCGGTGTCGTTGGAGGGCGGAGGCGTGCGCACTAAGAACTGGGATCCTTGCGAGTCAATGCGTGATGGTCGAAGGAGTGCTTCAGCCGTTCGGCTGCTGTAGTCAAGTATGCAGACAAAATTTGCGCTAGTTACGGATTCTGGCTTATGGTTAACCTATGGGTCGGAGTTGCTTGGAGGGTACTAAGTATATGTATACGCTAGCCCGCACTTGACGTCGTCACTATCGGCGCTTCCATTACCTTTCTCGGTCCACCACGCAGAACGGAGATGTCTCGCTTGAGTCAGAACTTTTCTAACTGCTTCCAAGTTCCGGATCTTGAAGAATCCTGTGTGGTTATCCTGCGATGGGTCGTGCAGTAGACTCAACAGCTTCAGCTAAGTTTCTCAATGCTGGGTGTAACAAAAGACTGATCAGACGGTCAAGCTCTCTGTCGGGGAGTCGAACCCCGCTTTCGCGCGACCGCACACTATAAATGACAGGCGCGTGTACTAACCGATATACTAACAGAGATTGGTTTCTGCATAAGTATGACGAGTAGAGTGTAACATCTCCGCTGTGCGTCCAAACCACAGCTGGATAACCCCAGCTACTGTGCTGCAGTGCATCATATTACATGGCCCGGGCGAAAGACTTGTCCGGATACATGCATTGAGCAATATGTTGATACACGGTCTGCGCAGATACTAGAGCGATACATTAGCTGTTCTACCAAGCCTCAAAGAGATACACGAAGCCGCCCATCCAGATCCAATCATCATGGCGTAGTGTCCCCCATGTCCCCCGTAGCTCCCACCCCACAGATTGATACATGCATGGCGAGACCATGCCCATACCTATCTTACTCATAACACAGTATGAAGATCTTCCCGTCCCGCACCGAGATGATGATCGCGCCCTGGCTCTGGTCGATATTGATCGTCTCCACCGTGTCCAAGTCGAGCTCTTCCGGGACATCGAGCGTATGCACGACGCCCTCGAGCGACACCGCCGTGTGCCCGCCAGCGTACGTCATCTCGTCCCGGTCGGTCGTCACCGGGGGAAACGTGACGAACCGCAGCCGCTTCTCGTCGCGCTCCAGCTCGGGCGGGTACGTGAACTCGATCCACACCGCGTGCCCAAAGTCGACCGCCATGAGCGGCCGCGGGCGCTCCTGCGCGCCGTCCGGGTCCAGGTCGTCGTCCATCCCGTCCAGCACGCAGACGACCTCGAACGGGTCCGAGACGTACCAGAGGCGCATCATGGACGACTCGATGGTACGAGTTGAGCGGGTGGGCGTCGCGGGCTCTTGGACGCCGAGGCCGGCCCACTCGTCGAAGTCGGAGGATGTTGTTGTTGACGATGAGGATGAGGTGGTTGGGCTGAACGCGATGCCGTTCTCCACGGGGGTCGCGAAGCCGTTCACGGGCGCGTGTATGTCGGCGACAGCTTTCGCGGCCGCCGCAGGGAGTTGCGCGAGGTCTTCCGGCTCGATGAGGGGAACCTTGAAGTAGTGCTGGGCGAGGACGTAGCGCGTGCGATGTGTCTCCGGCTCGTGATCCGCGAGAAGCACGACTGTGCAGCTGAGTCGGGGCACGGATGCAAGTGTCGGCCACCACTGCCTGACGAAGTGCGCGCTCTCCGGGTACCATGGGGGGTATGGGAACGGGTTAGAGTCCGACACTGTCCCGGACTCATCGTCCTCGATGTCACCGTTAGGCTCGTCCACAGATGTAGGATCCTGAGCGTTGTTGGCATCACCATTTGGCACGTCTTCGTCCACGTCTGCTATTGACGCGGGGGAAGGCGAACGCGTGTGTGGAGGGAAGATGAAAGGCGCGGACATCGTCGTAATAGGCCCTAGCCGCTCCGAGATGCTGGGAACGAAGGTGCTCGCTGTAGACGATGGTCGTGCGTGTCGTTGGAGGACGGGGATTGGATAGAAATACTGGTGAGCGATGTCACTCTCCTCGGAGTGGATCACGATCTGCTCCTGGTAGAGGATACATGACCAGTTCGAAGACATTGACTGGCACAATGTGAGCTGAACGGAAGCCGCCAGAAGAAAAGCACAGTACGTACACATTCGATGCCGGTGTCAATGAAGACGTACTCCTCCTTGTCCCAATCCAGCAGCGCGTACAAGCCTATCGTGTTCGAGCTCGACACCCACACAAACGCGGACAGTAGTCGGGATGCCGGATCAAGCAGGAAGACGTTCATGACGACGCCGATAGTCTTGAATGTTGTCAATTCGGAGAATATCGGCTCAGCATCCTCTGGGAACTCTAGCTTCATGAGCACGAACTCCATGACCCTGTCGTCGAACCTGCCTGCGCGTCAATACCACCACCTCACGCGCCACAATGCACACTCACGACCGCTGGAGGATCTTCGCCATTGTAAAGAAGACCGTCCGGATGTCGAACTCGACCCTGCACTTCCAGAGCTCCCAGCGCTCCTTTGGGTCCCACTCTGCAAGACAGATGTCTCGATGGACGTCCCAACAAACCACCTTCCCGCTCTTCGTCGCGCAAAGGCTGTAGCTTGACGTGATTGGGGATAACCAGTCCACCTCCTCGTTCGGTGGTGCGCTGATGACCTTGTACCACGATCGCGTACTGCTGCCGGAACCATCGGGGGTATTGAGGTATGGCGAGGATGTCGACGGTCGCGGGCCGCGTGTGAGCCAAGCGTACTCTAATCGAGTCGCTTGGTTGACCGCATCTATTAGCTGCTCGTCTGAGAGGTCGGAAAGTCGTTGGAATCCGTGGAGGGGAAGTGCGCGACATCGTCTGAGCAGCGCGGAAGCGAGATTACGATATACTGGGCGTGTGGTGGCGAAAGCATGCAGAGATTTGCAAGACTGTAAATGATCGATTTAGTTGCAAGGAGTTTTCAGCGATTTAGAGCTCAGCAAGGGCAACGAATGGAAGGGGGGGGGGGCCGCTTGAACCACGGATGTGTGGCCGCCGTCGCTCCGCAGCTGAACGCATTGGCTGTGGGTCGTCCAGGAGCGCCACAACAGCGTCAAGGGCCAACCTGCGCGAAACCGTGGACCATGCAGCGACGGTCTGGACATGAGGATCCAATACGCGAGTGCTGGCGAAGGTAGGGGTTGCATGAGGGTTGATTGGCCCACGAAGGTTGTGCCAACGACAGTCTCGCGTCCACACTTCGGAATACAGCCTACACAATCCCGAGGACTAAGATCATCATATGCGACATACGCCACGGATCGGATTGGTTTTGAGAGGGGAAAGAACAGTCTTCGGATGTGCAAGAGATCATGAACCCAGCCTTGGACGCGCTTGCAGACGTACACGAAAGCGGTCGCGAGCCACAACATGCCAAAACTCACCAACTGGATAGCAGAGATATCACGAAGTTCTAGATGGCGTGCAATGTTGAGCAGGAGATCGTACGGCAGAGTCGCGAGGGATATCATGTCCTGGGAGGTATCGCCGGAGTCGATGGAAAACGTAGACATTCCAGGGTGGTCCGTGGCTGGTATACACGTCCGCGTCGTTAAGTGTCGTAAATTAAACGACAAGAGCAAAGCGAGAGAACAAGGGGTCCAGAGGGTAGGTTGTGAGAGGAGGACAACGTCCTCGTTCGCGGCACAACGCCCGCGCAGACTTGATCAAAAGGCGCCCGCAGCGCCAGCCATCGAATTCCAGGTGCCTGTGGGTTTGTAGCCTCTCTTCGCAGAGATTTTGTCGGTGGTAAAGTTCAGTCTTAGAACGAGCGTGAACAATTGTACATGTTGGTTATGCATCTCGAATCTTTGAACTGTTCTACTACCACCCCGAGGCTCGCTGATCGTCCTCGGGTAAGGCAGGCGCTTCCCACGGTCCATCACAAGTACCAGCTGTATCAATCCGCCATTTCTCTTTGCAAAACATCCATATCTTACATTCGTCCTGTACTCTACGACATCCTGCGTCGACTGAAGATATCGCGAACATCCCGGAACGAGAGCAAGCTGAGAGCAGAGCTGAAGAAATTAGGCCGATCGCGCAGGCAGCCTTTATATGGTCATACGGCATCTGTAGCAGCTAGTCGCTGGCGGATGTATCGCTGACCTTTCCCCGACCACCGAGGTACGCGTTTGTAGCCTCTCTGCAACGACCCAGACATCTTCATATCGTGCAGAAAGATACCCCCCACGAACTCCACCGAAAGCCGGCGACAATCCGCCGGACACGCTCCTTCATCTCCTCCCTCTCCCTCTCCTTCTGCCGCTGCAGTCCCTCACTGCTTCATCCAGCTTCGCTATCCGTCACGCTCATTTCTCATAGACCATAGACCTGACTATGGCCCCGCGGAGAAGCACCTCCAACATGCTCAGTCCACCCGAGACAACGACACCCTCCCCCTCGTCCCCCGCGAGCTTCCTGAGCACTCCACGCTCTGCCTCTCCCTCGAACAGCTTCACCGCCTTCACGAACAAATGGTTCAAACGCACCAACTCTGGCGGGCAGGGCCGGACCTCGATCAGCTCGAGCGAGCCGCGTTCGAGCACCAGCTCGACGCGTAAACACAAGATATCGCACCCGACCGATCCGCGCCCTATCATGGACAACTTGGTGCCCCCGAACAGGGGAGGATTGGGCATGCATGCAGCGAGCAGGTGAGTTCTAGGCTTCTTCCTCTTTTCGTTCGCCTGGCGCGTTCCTGGCGTTCGCGTCGTCCCGCCTTCCTTGCATCCCGCAATCCCGCAACTCCGGCGATCCCTGGATGCCGGCGGTCATCCATCTGGTTTCAAACTCGATACTGCAGACGCTGGCGCCCGCTTTGATCCTTCGTACTGTGGGACGACGCACTCGGGAGTGCTCACCGTATTTTCACAGATCTGTCGCCGACTTGTCATTAGCTCGGACAGCCACCGCTACGCCAGACTCCAGACCACATGCCTTCCGGACGCCCTCCTCTCCTTCAAATGCGAAGTCGCACGGCGGCCTCGGCGACCTCAGTGCGCTGAAGAGCAAACCATGGTCCAAGTCCGCGGACGACCTGGGCAAGCTGTCCCCGACCAGCACCAGCCCGAAACTCGCCCCGATTGACACCACTCTCTACCAGAAGATCAGGACTTACCGTAGTGACAGCGTGAGCAGCAGTGCTGCTGCTTCGCCGTCTCCCCTCCCTTCACCGTCCGCCTCTTCCCTCAACATAAACTACCCCTTCCCTGTAATTTCCGCCGATCTCTCGACCTCCCCGCCCAAGAACACACGCCTCGTCCCCCCGATGTCCAACCATGCCTCGCCGATAACGCCTCCGCTAACGCCTTCCTCGTCGACCTCGTCGCACGTACACTCACGCTCGCACTCGTTCACGCCTCGTCTGCCGTCCAAGCTGGCCGGGCCGATGTCTGGTCTCGTTCCGCCAAGTCCGAAGCGCAAAGGATCTGCGTCGTCGGAGTCGCGCGACCCAGAGCGAGACAAGGGTTCCTCGGGGAGCGGGGCGTCTGGTCGCTCGCCTTTCCCCTTCGGCTTCGGTGCTGGCAATGTCAAGACACCTCCCGCGATCAACGT